TTTTTTTTGCGGTACGCGGGCCTCTCACCGCTGCGGCCTCTCCCGCTGCGGAGCACAGGCTCCGGGCGCGCAGGCCCAGCGGCCACGGCCCACGGGCCCAGGCGCTCCGCGGCACGCGGGATCCTCCCAGACCGGGGCACGAACCCGCGTCCCCTGCATCGGCAGGCGGACTCCCAACCACTGCGCCACCAGGGAAGCCCAAAACTTTTTTTTTTAATGATGCAGTATTAGTGCGTTCTGGAAAAGGACCCAGTTCTCCACCCTCCCACACTCATGAACTCGTGGCCAAGAAGAGCAAGAAGCACTGAGCATGGCCTGTGCGTCCTTGGTGGCCTCAGATACCGCCCCCCCCCCACCACCACCACACCCCTGCACAGAATCCTGGTCAGGACCCTTCTCTTGCTTGTCACCTGGTTCAGGTTGGAGCCACAGATGCCCATCGACTCCCTGGCCGGGTCCGGATTCCTTCTTGTGCCTTTCCTGCCAGAACGGCCCCCGCAGCCCTGGGCATCTGGCCTGGAAACTCAGCCCCCACCCCCAGCAGCGCCGTGCCCCCCGGGAACTGCCCAGCCTTTGAACTCACAGTTTTTCCTTTGAACAGCCCTCCCCTTGCCTCTTATAACTTCCACCTTCTTAGGGAGCATCGGAGCCCACAGCACCAGTGAGGGCCACTGATAATCATCCTTGTTCTACAGTTGTGAACCTACATCCCCCTCAATCTAGAACATTCTCAAGCCCCTTGAACGCAGAGGCCACGCCACAGGGCAATCCCGATCAATACCTCCTACCAAGGGAATGAGCCTCCCCACTTCCCTAATCTCCCTGACAACATGGGGTTGGGATGCGCCCCCTTGGGCTCCCACCAGGAACAGAGGCCGAGAAACCAGTGCTGAAATAAGCTCATCCCAGAAACGCAGATCAAGAAAAAGGAAGATACAGGGTACTGAACGTTCGAGTGTTACAAAGGTCACTGGGGAGAATTAAAACCAGCGGCCTGGATGCTACGACCACCTGCATTCAAAGGAAGCAGATATCCTTAAGACCAAAAAAAACATTTTTCTAACGCGGTTGAAACGCCAGTCAGCTCGGAGCTAAAGGGAGTGAGTTCCCCATCTCTAGAGGCATTCAAGAAAAGGCTGGACGGTACTTGCACAAAGTGGCTCTCTGCGGTCCCCTCCAACGCTGAGAGTCTCTGTTTCTATGAATCTAAGCAAAAGTCAAGCAGGTGCGTCGTCCGGCCCTTCTTGCTGGCTCTGTAGCTGGCTTCTTAGCGGGTGTCATCCAGGTTTGGTTGACCCTGCCTCCCCCAATAATTTCCCAGTAGGAGATTCTTGGCCTCAAAGGAGATGTTGAATGCTTCTCCACCTGGGACATCAAGGGGGTGCGTTTGGGGTTATCCCAATGGCAGGAGGGAGCCAGTGGCGTTCAGTGCTGAGCGAAAGGGACAGCAGTGCTTCCTGCATGTCAAGCAATTGTCCCACCCCAAATGCCAGTGGCTCCTGCCTTGGAAAATTCGGGGTTTCTAAGCAGCCTTGGGCCTGCATCTTCTGGAACCCAGCACTGCTCCGGTGAGGCCAGGGCATTTGGGCGTCTGGTGGGGTTTTTTAATTTGTGTTTCTGCTCTGTTTCCCAAATGTCTAATAAAGGACAGGGACCATGTTCCAGGCGCAGATGAGTTACCTGGAGGCTGAGGCAGGAGAGGCTGGTGGATGGGCCTCTGCAGGCTGCCCTCCGAAAGGCCGCTCCATCCTGGGCCAGCTTGTCCCCCACCCCTGCCCAGAGCGCCTCCTTTTCTAAAAGGTGCCTGGGCATCTGCCAGGTCACCCCGAACTCCAGGTTCAGGTGGCTGGCTCTGCTCAGCTGAGAGGGACACGTGACCCGCGAGGCCCGCAAGTCCACAGTAAATGCAATAACTCCTGGAAAGCCAGTGTTCCACTGGAAGAGAAAAAGGAGCCCGGGACAGGAACAGATGCATTTCACCTAACCTGACAATTACTGAGCGGCTGCAGAGGTGACAGAAGGACGAAAGAGGCAGACGCATCCTGCCCTCAAGGAGCCTGCAGCATAACAAGAAGTTCCAGCACGGACCCCCTGGTTCACCGTGGCCCACCGACCACCCGCTCCGGACCACCAGCAGCCATAGACAACGGGCAAGTGGAACCAAGGATCCCAACCCAACCTCACAGCCCCTCCAGAATAGAGAGAGGCCCCCGGCGTGGCTGTCTCCAGGTCCACCACCTGTCCACAGGTGTGTGAAGTTCTGAGGCACAGCTCCGTCCATATGGGGCCACCTAAGGCTGCTACCCACACCCTCTGAAATCGGATTTGTGAAAGATTTGTATCTGCGGGGCAGTTGTTTTTGGCTGAAATGCAACGGATGTCGAGCCCTCCTTGTAAAGGAACATTGAGTTTTCCTCTTGTGACACATGGGATGCATCATAAGTCCCTCCCCAAGTCGTAGTTCACACACCCATCCTTCCGACGGCGAGTTTTGTGGTTTTTAAAAACAAAAACAATTCATTCTGATTACTGTCGTGATATGAAGGCATCATTTCCATGAGCTTTGGGGGATTTTTATGTGAAATAAACTATCACTGAGAAGGGAGGTTTGTGACTTTTGTCCACGTCCAAGGGATGTGGCACTGGTCTTGGTTGTGGTGCAGAGGAAGGAGCTTTCACGGGATGGGAGGGGTCACAGCTCAATACCAAGCGACCTTGGGCAACCTTGGGTGACTTTGGGCCATGGCCTATATCCTCTTGCTTCTATCTCCCATCTGCAGAATGGGAGCCCCGGCTGGGTTCTTCCCGAGGCCCCTTTTGGCTCTGCCTGTCTGTGATTCAGGTTCCTTTCCTGTCCCCAGTCTTCTCTGGAATCAAACTTAGTCAACAGTTAATAATATTAATTACTAGTATTAAGCAGTTCTCCAACCCCGGCAGACACGAGCTGGGTATCCTACAATTTATCTCAATCCTGACACTACCTGTTCGGGCAGACCTTACAGGCTAAGGGTTCAGCCCCACAAGACGGCCCCGACTTCAGACACCAGTCAACCTCAGGTCCTACAATAGGGTACAATTCAGCAATAGTCAGTCAGATGGGAGAGATGCACAAAGTGAGGTGTGGGGAAGGGGGCGGAGCTTCTACGCCCCCTCTGGGCACCACCCTCCCAGCACCTCCCTGTGTCCACCTAGTGGAAGCTCTACAAAAAATGTTTAGGGATTTTCATGGAGGCATGATGGATTACACCACTGGCCACTGATGAAAGTTCCATCCCTCTAATCCCAGGGTCAGTGGGGTACCTTGGCCACCAGCCCCGATCCTGTGGTTATAGGGCGTTTCCAAAAGTCACCTCGTAGCACAAACTCAGGTGTGGTTGAAAGAGCTTGTTATGAAAGCAAAGGATGCTTCCTTCACCTTTATTATCTGGAGCCATTTCAGGCACAGAGGACATAAGACCAAATATTATCATAAAAGGGACTTCCCTGGTAGGCCAGCGGTTAAAACTCCACGCTTCCATGGCAGGGGGCATGGGTTAGATCCTTGGTCGGGGAAGTTCCACATGCTGTGCAGTGTGACAAAGAAAAATAATTTCCAAAAAAAAAAAATGTATATATTATAACAAAAGATGTTCCCTCTTCTGACGTAGGAAATTACGAGGGTTTTAGGGGCTTTGTGCCGGGAACTGGGAACTAAGTCCAACTATGTTTCTTATTATAAATCATAATATCACAATAATAACAGTAGCAGTAATAATAATAGTCTGAATCCAACCTAGCACAGGCCGCATGTTACTGAGAGGGGGGCGTCTGAGGCAGAGAGAGGGTATGTGGCTCACCTGGGGTCACCCGGACCCTGAGTGATTGGTCTGAGGTCTGATTCTGTGCCACCCCCGGCCACCCCATTGCTCGGCTGGAGACCCACGACCCTCTGCCAGCTGCAGGACATTGGGGGCTGTCCCCCTCAAAGGGTCAGAGTGGACCCTCCCATGTCAGGTACAGGAGGAGTCCTCTCATTGTCCCTGCCCAGGATTTTGGGACCTGCTGGTGGCGGGGATGCCAGGACAGGTGTGAGGTCCACACAAAGTCACCATCAGGTTGATGGCGGGAGCTGGCAGGTGCCAGCCCACCTGCCTCTGCCATCCTGGCCCTCTGATGTCCAGTGAGGTGCCCTTCACGGAGAAGGTCGCTTCACGGGGGCTGGGAGGGGGCCTCAGGTAGAGGGGGCGAGCTGGCATGAAGGCGGCGAGGAAGGGGTGTTGAAGATGGCAGAGCTGGCGCTGGGATCAGGGGGTGCCCTCTTTGGAGGGGAATGGACCCGCCCCTCTTTCCCACCCCACCGAGTCTCTGATTATCCTAAGGAGGGTCTTGCGAACCTCATTCATCCGTTCGTTCATCCATTTGCTGAGCACTGGGGATCCTGCAGGGCCCAAGCACCCCTTACGTTGCTCCCAGCCCAGTGGGGGAGTTTGACACAGGGAATCAGGGCCTCACTGGGGACCAGGAGGAAAGTCCAGGAAGGGCCCCTGGAGGGCGGGTCCTCGGTGACTGGAGACCAGAGAGAGAAGTAGCAGTTAGCTAGGCCAAAGGGCGGGCGGAGAGGTGTCCCCGGCGGACGGCTCGGCAAGGGCAAAGTCCTGGACGCCAGACAGAGCTGGGTCAACCAGAAGCAGGAAAATGAAGGGTGGCGGCGGGAGTGCAGGGTGGGTGCTGGGGGGAGATTTTTACTATTAGTGGCATTCAGCACATTCACAATATTGTGCAGCCATTACCTCCG